TTTATAGAAGTTGGAATTAGCTCCTAAAAAATTCACAGATATTCCACCAATAACCGTTTTTTTTTTACAGTTTTACAGTTTGACTTCGAAAATTTTGGAAGAAAGACGAGATAGAAAACAAGCACCCTGGCAATGAACATTTTGATCCGCAGATGTGTTTTGCATCTGTAGCAAAATTTTGAGTAAGTTGTTTAAAACCTGCCAGTTGAATGCTTTATGACGTTGAAAAGTTAAAATTAGCCAACCTGAATTGCGTTTTCCGAAGTCTCATCAAAACCGCAAAATTTAAAAAGACTCTAAATAAATTAGAAACAATAAATTCACAAGTGGCCCTATACATAATAAGAAGATGGCTGCTACACAACCAGGGTGATACACAATTTAAAGCTTGCCAGAGCTGAGCCAGTTACTGTTTATGAAAACAACAATCGTTTTTCTGTGCACGAAGCAGGTAGCCAGGCGTTTTGGAGAGAATCATTTTTTTTTGCGGTGGGGAAATTGTGCTATCAGATTTTGCAAAAAAAAGCTAAGCGATTAGCAACTTGTTGCGGTTTCTGTTGATTCTTATGAAGTTGGATGTTAACTATTCTTTCTCGATATTCTCATCACACGAAGGGAAGGTCAGACTCCGGCCTGTGCCTCAACTATCACGCTGTGAGTCCGAGCAAGTACAAGCACTCGGTCGTTTGTGGTTTTGTACATCGAGTGTTTCGGAGTTGCTCTGCCTGGACTCATTTTGATGATTGTCTGAACAAGTTGAAGAACATTCTTGAGGGCAATCAATATCCACCTGGCGTTTACAATCCGATTATTCGCAAAGCAATCAACAATCTTTTAATGAACAAGTCGAAAAACGAGAAGCCTGGTGTTACCAAGACCCGAAAAACAGACAAACTGTTCTGTCGACTGCAGTATCGAGGTTTTGTTACTGACCAATTTATAAAAAAAGTTGACTAGAGATGCAAGTTATCAAAACTGGGACGCAGCAACGTAGTCCACAATATCACCTGTCCTGCGTGTAACGCATGCTACGTCGGTCAAACGACTAGACACTTGATGACATGTGCACGCGAACATTCTCAGAAAAACAGCCTGGTTGGCAGCCACTTCATCATCTGTGACGTTTCCCCTAAGGCTGATCTGGGATCAAAGAAAATTATAAACTCTCACGCCAACCAGCATACTTTGCTGCTCTAGAAGCACTAGAAACAGCTCAAAGACTACCGAAAATCAATACCAAGGACGAGTACAGAAAGAAAGAGCTGACAATCAAGTTCTCAGGAGCAGTAGACGAACAAACAGAGCATGTTGTGTATTGTGTTATGGTGACTTCGACCTCAATATGCGTTTAATAAATTTTATTTTTAATTCTTAGTTTTAGCATCTTACAAACTTTATGTGCAGTTTTTGTTTTATTTCAGAATTTTCTGATGATGGTTTTTAACGAAATGCATTGTACCTCATCGGAATCAGAGTTTTTCCCTCAGCTATCGTACTATCGGATTGTGCTTATCCCTTACCGACTATACGTCTTGATTTTATGGATGTATGACTCGTTGTCAACGTTCAAAAAATACAGAAGCTCGTATGAAAAGCGCGTTAAATGCTCTTTCCGCATCAAGTTTTTGAAGAAGTGTTATTCAAACGACCTTGTGCTTCCCGTACCTTGTACTTGCGGCACATTTTAAAACATTGGAACAAGAAACTTGGTTTGAAAAAAAAACTGTTTGAGTAATCATTCGGTATTTGAGTAATTATGAGAAATGCGTACAGTTTTTTTTCAGAAAGGGTTTCCACTGAGCTAATCTCAGATCTGAAAATTTAATTTTCATAGCTGTTTCAGTTCCGGTTTTTTAAAATCAGAACTCTGAAATAACAAACTTCCAGTCTGAGAAACAATTTATGTTATGAATAAAGTATTTCAGATCTTGTATATTCACTAAGTAGGGGGAGCCACTCAGATTTATGCAGTAAAAATTCCTTTTCTTCAGGTGAATACACAGTTCTAGGTAGACTTGGGGTAACTTAAGGTAAATTTCGAGGTAATTTCACCTGAATTTTTAATGTAAAGTTGAGGTGAGTTAAGGTAACAGTTTAGGTGGCTTAAGGTAGTTTTACCTATTTAGTTAAGGTAACTTTTTCCGGTAAACAGGAGGTGACTTGAGATAAAAGTTAAGGTAGTTCCCCGCAAGTTTTAAGATTAATTTGAGGTGAGTTAAGGTAGTAGTTGAGGTGGCTTGAGCTAAGGTTGAGCTGAGCACTATTACTCTCAACTGTTGAGGTAATTTAAGGTACTTTTTAAGGTAAATTTACCTCAACTTTTTTTTAGAGTGTTCGCATTCATTGACTAATTGCTTTTGTCGAAAGTTTCTTAAAAACCCCACTTTAAAATTTCATTACATTCTCTCGAACCTTGGTAGCAATTAAAACATCCTTCAAATAACAATTGGTAAAACTGAATCAGTCTAAAATTGCGTTTTTACCCTTTGGAATTTATCAGCGATATCACTTATCCGTAAAATTTGGGTTAAAACGAAGTGGCCTTTGAAATTTTCAGTTATTTTGCGCGTTTGATTTGACATTCAAAAATGACTGTAACTTTTTTCCAATCTAAAGTGATTAGTTGGAACCAACTTTTTCACGGTTCCTAAGAAATGAGCTACCATATCGACTTTGATGCAAATTACGCAAAAGTTGTTTAATTACTTTGTATGGGAAATAATAGAGATTTCTCTTGAGCATATCAGTTCCAATTTTTAGTACAAAGTGTTACCTAGCATCTTCGCATCCGTGCTATCGTTGAGTTAAACTATGATGTCACGCAAGTTCTCGGAGCACTTTTTTTTTCGAGCTACAATCTCATACGTAAAGGTGATCATCAGATCGTTAAACTAAGGTAGAAATTCTAGTGTTTTTAAGCTATCTATGGTGAAAATGTGGGACGCGCATTCTGCTTCGAAAAAATACAGCTAGCCTAGTGTATTTGCTTCAATTATTAAATTTTGTGTTTTGGTTTCTAAGAATTTGTTCATTTCATCATTGAGATTTTTTTTCATTTCTTCATTTTGACATCTTTAAGAGTCGTGGCATTCAGAACCGACTGTTTGTTGGAACCGGAGCCTTCTGTCCAGCTTACCATCTAGTCAATTCAATGAATAGGACCGGCTGAAATATAATTTTTTCTTATCGGCCTGGGTGAGCGAGTTTTGGACGAAGCATAAAATTTTAAAACAAAAAAAATTCGTTTTTTCATTTATGGAAAAATTGCTTATACAATTTCATCCTATGAAAAAATGCGTAACAACTTACTGCTACAAAAAAAGCGCTTTTGCTTTTCATAAGTTTTTTGTGATATAAATTTGACAAAAAGCTCGCTATTTAATTCCAAATTGTGGCAAAAGATGCTTTCACCCTATGGAAAAAATGCTTGTCATGCTATTTTTATACTATGTTTTAGGTATTTGAAACAGTATGAAAAAGTATCATAAGATTTTTTTCATAGGATGAAATTGTATGATACGATTTTTTGTAGTATGAAATTGTATGATAGGTTTTTTTGTCAAACCGCGGGTGTTCACTTATTTCTTCCTCTCCTACATGGACGTACTAAACTTCAATTATACACATTGCGCCTTTTCTGGGCGGATATTCAAAGCCTTTTGCTGAAAATTTTGCAAATTAAATGGAGTTGTAGTTTGACTAAATTTGCTGTTTTTGGACAATATTGCAAGTGGTTCACTAAATTGCCGTTAAAATTTAGTTTTGTCCTTGTTATGAAAAATAAACAATTTTTATTTCCAGAGCAATGTTTAGTTTTTATCAAAAGCTATATTTAAGAATTTACATGTTTGAAATTTGAATAAAGGAAAACTAGATGGAATGGTTGAAATCTTGGTTATGATAATTTTGTGACTAATCGAATTTTATCCATGCTTGCCTGAAGCGTAGAAAAATTATATATGAAACTCCTTTTTCTGCCTCGATCTGATCATTCGCGTTATAATGTTTTCTACGGTTGTCTGAATAACAATCTCAGGTACAAGGTATCAATTTCCTTGCTATAATGTTATATATTTCACTTTCTGTAAGGCCCAAATAAGTTTACTTTGTTATCAAAACGTTGGCCCAAGTTGCAAAAAATCTTCACTTAACAAAAAAAAACGACATGACGGAAAACATATTTTTACGCAGGGGCGGATCTTGAGCGGTTTTTTTTTCGGGGTTGGGGGATTTTCAAAAAATTTTGTTGACTTTTTTTGAGGATCGATCGAATTGAGTTTTCGACCTCTCCCAAAGCTCTAGAAAGACCCCGTTTCTGCTTAATTGTCTGCGCCTTTCGAAAATTTTGACCAAAAAATTGCGGTTTTTCGGCGCGAACTCCCCCCTCAAAATATGTATATACTGGCGCCCAAGGCGCGTTTAGAAATATTTCAGCGTCCGTCACCAAAAATGGATATTTCAAAATAGTACGAAGGGGGGAACCTTTGGCTCGGCAGGTGGTCAAATCCCTAAATCCGCCCCTGTCCTTGCCTTCAAAATGCTTCAAACCAAAACTTGGTTCATGATATCAATTTTCTAAAGCTTTTTAGTGTTTTTTTTATCATGTTTTTGTCATGCTGGTCGGCTATATTTACTTATCAAACAATAATATATCAAAAATTTATGAATTAAATCTTCAATAAGTTGCTGTTTTTAGCTTTTTGACGATTATTTGTAGCATCTAAAAAATATTGTCATTAATCGCAAATCTCTAAGTTTATTTATAATTTTTTTTTGAAGGTATCTAGTCAAACTGTATGGAAATTTCTTAACCTTGTGGCTTAATGTCAAGCAATCTAAGCCTTTCCTTTAGCAACCATTATGCTAAAACTAAAATCAGAAATGTCACGCAAGATGGCATAAGTTTGTCTATTTACATAGTTTACAATTCGTAAACATAATGTTTGTTCCAACATCCGGTTTGCGCATATGAATGACCCTTTTATGTTGCCAAATGCGCCCAAACCTCAAATGTATAATTTCCAAACCCAGAACATTTGCACTAACTCTTAGCTTGATTAAGCACATTAATTTGAAGACAACTCCTCCAAACATAAACTGCGATTCTTCAACTCAAATTTAAGGTTATTTGTTCATAAAGTAGTCACCCCTTTTCGAAAGTCCGAAAAGTTATCGCTGTCTTAAAACAACTCAGAAACAGTCTTATCCTTTTGAATTTAATTTGGTGAACCGAATAAAAATTGAAAATATTTCCGAAAATGACTAGTGATTCTCCGAATACTTTGATGGTCTACGTGCAGTCCATAATCCTCCTGCTCCTTGCTTACTCCTACTACATTGGTATGTCTCATTCTATAATCTCACGATTCGGTTTCATTTCCCGTCGGCTTGATGCCCGTTAATTATGTTTGATTAAGAAACTCTATAAAAAATTGTTCTTTTGAATAATTCAGATTTAAAAAAATGTTTCGACACCGCCTTTGATACTTTTTTATGATATCTATTTTTGGTAAACCAGCCCAAAGTGTTACTAAAAGCGACCTTGGCGCCAATTTTTTTTTAAACGCCAATAAAACGCGATTTTTTGGAGAAAAAAAAACATCTAAAAGTGATGTTTTGTAGCTATATTTGAGCACGACTGAAAATGCATTAATTTTAGTAGAAAAATTTTGATCCTCTCGCATGAAATTTTTAAAGAATTTCATTAAAAATAATTGTACATCTTTCTGGATTAATCGCTCTATCTGAAGCAGCGAGCTCAGCTCACAGTGGGATTCGAACCCTCAACCTTTAAACAGGAAGGCCGGAAGATTGAAAGTAAACAAACCAGCCGAAGTAAAAACCAGCCGAAAATTTACGTGATATGAATGAAAATTGCATGCATTTCGTAACTGTTACATAATTGTTACATAACTATCATAACTCAGTTGCGTATTTTCGACTTGTTTATACTTCGGCTGGCTTACACTTCGGCTGGTTTATATAGCACCGGACGATTAACCACTGTTGTCTTCAGTTTATTTTGTTTGGAGTTTTTTTAAAGGGTATGGATGGTACACTCTGGATAGTCCAAATGGAGAGCCCTACTACTACCTGAGCCCTCTGAGCAGCTGTCTGTTCCGCGCCTCGTACAGCTTCCAGTTCCAGGACTTCCTCCAGATGGGCATCTGCCAGCCGACAGTCGAGTTCTCACAACATATCTCAAAAAACGCCAGTGAAGCCGACGTGAAGGAAATGGCCATTCAGGTGTGATATGAAAAGTAGTGTTTAAAGTAGTATTAATAATAAAATTAAACTGATTTATAAATAGTGCCAAATTTTTGGCAAAGAGTTTTTCAGCCAATTAAAAAATTTCACGAAATCAAGCGCACCTTTAGTAACCAGAAAAGAAAGTTTTCGACCTTTTAGAAATTGGTGAACGTGTAATGATGATCTGTAATTTTCGAAAATTTTGACGATTTTTTTTAGGTCGACCAAATTGATTTTCCGAGCTCTCCTCAAACATTAAAAAGACTGTTTTGGTCAAATATTCTGCGCCTCATTTTTAAAATTTTGACAAAAAAATCGCGTTTTTTTGCGCGCGCTCCCCTTCAAAATTAGTACATATTGGCGCCAAAGGCGCCTTTAGAAAAATTTTAGGGTCGGTCGTCCAAAAATGGATTTCTTGAAAAGTACCAAAGGGTACTTGTTTATGAGTTGAAATACTGGAAAAAGTGAGCAGACGGCAAACAGAGCAGTTTTAGGTTAATTAAAAAAACAACAAATATTATTCAAAGCTTACAGGCAGTGTAGAAACTGATTTTTTTGACAAGGACAATAGGCAAATTATGGTGTGTCCAAATTTCAATATTTGGCAAATTTAAAACTCCAACATAAAATTTTACCCTTGCGTTTTTTTATTACAAACTGTAATAAAAAAAATCAGTTTCTACACTGCCTGTAAGCTATGAATAATATTTGTTCTTTTTTAAATTAACCTAAAACTGCTCTGTTTGCCGTCTGCTCACTTTTTCCAGTATTTCAGCTCACAAACAAAAAAATCTGGTTAACCAAAGCATTGATTCTTGAGGGATTTAGCAGCTCAAGTTCACCGATTTTGCCAACAATTTGGTCTTAACTATAATGAAATATATTTAATGACCTTTTCAAGAAAGAAAGAAATATTTCTCAAAACTTATTCCTCTAAAACGAAAAACTTATTTTGAACATAGGCAGATAGCTTGTTTGAAATAATTCTCTTTGTTTTTTTCAGTTTGGCTTTTTCTATAAAAACACTCAAAGGGCAGAAACAGTGACATTAAAAAATGTTCCTTTTATCCAGTTTTCTCATTTTGTAGCGAGCAAGATATTTTTGTTCTGATGACCACTCCTATGAGTTTGAAGAAAACATGGACCTAAGCTGAGTTTTAGCAACCTTCAGTCGTTTTTTGGATTCTTAAAAAATTGAAAACAAATTTCCCAGTGTCGGGAAAAACTAGTCCGGACACTTGGATTTGTTCGAGGCTCTCTTGTCATGAGGCGATGTTCGGTACCTCGTTCACTCTATAGTTATCTATATTAATATGTGTACTTATTGATGTGCTATTGTCTCATATAACTCACCTGTTAAAGTGTGATGCCGCTGAAATATGCATTTATGCATTATGCGCAATAAACTTAACAAGATACAGTCCTATTCTACATTGCTGATGTAAATTAACCGGACAAAACGAATAAATTTTGAAATTCAAACGCGTTTTTCTCAAATTGGGTTAAGATTAGACAAAAAATGAAGGGAAAAAAATTGCCTAAGGTTTCACCAGAGTTAATATACACAGCGCAACAAAGTTACAGAAAGGTTGAATCTCCAAAAAATTGAGTAAATTGTTTAAAATTTGTTTTTAAGCAAAGATTTTGGGTTTTATATATAAAAAAATCACGTTTCTTGACTACCACGCAAAAATAGTTTCTCTTATACAGGTTTTTGGAGATTCAACCTTTCTGGATCTTGGTTGGGCTGTTTAAAAGACTTCTTGTGATATATATTTCAAATAACAAATTAGTTTCAGCGCAATTTTTGATTAGCCAAAACGACCCATTTTTGGGTCGTATGAAAAAAAGCCAAAACGACCCATTTTTGGGGTAACATTTTGGTTGATATTTTCAAAGAAAAAATTGCACCATATTGATTCTGGTGAAATTCGAAGCAACTTTCGTTATCTTCATTTTTGTCTTATCTTAACCCAATTTGAGAAAAATGCGTTTGAAAATTCGAGTTTTTTTTATTTTGTCCGGTTAATTTAAATCAACAGTGCATACCGAGTGCCTTATTTTCATAATATATAACGTTTCAAATCACTCTTTCAAAATTGCTTTTATGAGAATTTCAGTTCAGATTCAGGTTCAGGGGCGGATTTAGGCGGCGGGGGGAGGGGTTGTTGGGGGCGGATGCCCCTCCACAGGTATTCGACCCCTTGCCGATCTACAGGGTACCCCTTTGTACTATTTTGAGTTATCCATTTTGTGAGTGACGGACCCTAAATGTTTTCTGAAAGCGCCTCAGGCGCCAGTACTTACCAATTTTGAGGGGGGAGCGCGCGCCGAAGAAACGCAATTTTTTGTTCAAAATTTTCCAAAAAATGCTCAAAACGCCTTTTGTGTCTTTTTTTTTCAAATTTTTGCCTGCGCCGCAGATAATTTGGCCAAAACAGGGTCTTTTTGGAGCTCTAGGAGAGCTGCGAAAATCAATTTGGTTGACTTAAAAAAAGTTCGACAAAATGTTTGAAAGTTGTTTGAAAATCCGCTCCCTCCTCCGCTTGTTGTTATCTATATCATAGCTTTTTTCATTCATAACTCCTGAGAAAATGGCTCCAAACTTCAACAAAAAATTGAAAACATTTTCGGAAATTCATTGAATTTTCGTAGTGCTCTGTTGTTTTTTTTTGTTGGATTACTGTGCTCGGAACATTTTGTGCCTATACTGTTTCGGTTGATTAAGTTATTTTTTTTTTAAAATGTACTGTTATGAAATATTCGGATGCCTGTCAAGACACTGACTCTCTTTGTTTAAAAATCGAAACCAAAGCTTTCAACAGCTGTCTCAATGGATCATTTAGGTCCAGTTTCTGGCTCGCTTCATGGTCGGCTGTGCCACTTTGTCTCTCGTCCTCTTCATGGCCGAACTGTTCTCCCATCAGCTGAACCGGATGGTGAAAACATCTCTGGCTACATTCTCTGGCGCTTTGGTTCTGATCCAGTTCACAGCCCAGATGAGACTGTTTTCTGCCATGTGGCAATTGGTTGAAGAGATCAGAAAAAATGCAGACAAGGATGTCAGGATTGTGGGACCAGAATTTGACTTCGACGATGGTAAGTGATATTTTTCGACTTCGACTATATTTTTTCGGTATTAGCAGAATGAAACAAATTTGATTATTTTAACTGAAACAAGTTTTTTCGTTGGCCGCGTTTTTCAGTGTATTGAAGATTGCAAGGAAACAATTTCGGATCACCGTAACTATTTCCCGCTTAGGATACCTAGTAACTAATTGCCACCCCTATAAAGAAATAATTCAATGGTTGAGCATTTGTAAATTTTGGACCTAGTAACAAACAAACACACCTCTACCCCCGCCCCTCTCCCTTAGTATTGTAAATCTAAAAACTGTTTCTGTTATCATAAATTTTTAGACACTTTATCCACTAATATACCGTTTTTATTTACTGATACGGTTTTTGACCTATTTTTTTTTCAAAATTTTAGTCTTTATAGGGTTCTGGGAGTGCTCTGAAAATCCATTTTGTTGACCTAGAAAAAGGTCAAATTAAAGTTTTCGAAATTTTTTTCCCAAATACAAACACACCCCCCCCCCCCCCCCCCACCCCGAGAAAATTCTAGATCCGCCCCTGAATATACAAACTGCTTAGCTCTTTAAACAGAACCGTCATTGTTACACTGGTTTAGATCCATGGAATTAATTTGTTGTTTCTTGAACTAGGATATGTTATTGATTGAATAATTGTTATTAATTGAACAATGATTATTTTGTTAACTATTTAATTCATTTTTAATGGTTGACATATTGCTCAACAAAAAATCTCAGTCTGGAATGTGGGAAATGAAAAGAAAACGGGCTATGCTTATACAGGCTACAAGGCCTTTCATATAGATCCTCTGCGAATCGCAGAAACTCCAGTTATTAATTATTAATAAATATATTGATGAATATGTTCAGACCTTGGCGCCTCGTTTGCGCTCGGATTCTTCATTGCCCTGTTTGCCTCTTGCCTGTATGTGGGATCCTTCAGCTACTCCATCTACCGGGTGGTCCAGATTGTGCTGGATGTCAACGAGGACCCCTTTGCCATCACGTCCAAAAAGTCCACTGCGTCCAAGATGCCAAGGTATCCCAAGTCCATCAATCTTTGCCTCTAAGATCATTTATCCACGAGGGATAGGACCAACATACGAGCTGTACAGCTCATCACGGCGAACCGCTGTTGTACCCTGCTTAAGAACTACATGCAATTGTTTTGGTTATTTTTCTGGGCTGGGTAATGTTGCCTCACCCTCAAGCAACGAGCATCAATCTTTGATATCTTTGAAAAGTCTTGGAGAATCTTGGTTAAATCTTAAAGAAAATCTTGGCTGTTTTGGCAAGTTCTTGCCAAAGAATCTTGAAATATATCAAAGATTCTTCAAGAAAATTCAAATACCTTCGCTTTTTAAGAACAATTTCGTATTTTGCATTTTATAATTTTAATAATACTCCTCTGGAAGAACTCCATCCTCTTAAAGTGCCCAAGCGTTATTTAAACATTTCACAACCCCGTTTTAGATCTGGAATTTAGATCTGAAAAAGATTATTTCAGATCTGAATTAGAAAATTTGCAGGGTACAGCCATTAGGGCACCTAATAAAGAATTGTCACCCCTATTATGAACCAAATCAAGGATTAAGGACAGAGGAAATCGGTACCTTGTAGCAGATGTCCCCGTTTTGCAACATTGGGGCGGGGGGGGGGGTTTATTTGGCAAGATCCTAATTTTCGTATGATTGAGAACAAAAAACTATTTCACATCGAATAGATCATCTCAAATGTGAACTAACGCTTCTGAACTTTCAAAATGCGCTCAAGATGAAATTGCAACTCGAATTTAAGTTTCTAAACCGTTTTTGACACATAAACATAAGCTTGGCAGATGAACCTGATCTGATCCTGGTATTACAGAAAATTTTGTTTTTATTTTCTATTTCAGTTAATATTTTATAAAAAAAATATCAATATTACCATCGAGTTTTGAGAATTATTTAAAAAAAGTAAACTGTCTTTCGAAGTTGATTTGTTTGTTCTAATTTGAAATACTCTCGTGGTTATGAATGGTGCTGTTTTTAATAAAACTGATTTAATAATATAAATTAATAACTCATCGAATAATTATACTCATTAGCAAATTTAGGGGGGGGGGATTTCTTAGGGGTTCAACCCCCTGCCGACACAAAGGATCCCCCATTGTACTTTTTTGAGATATCCGTTTTTGCCCGACCTACCCTAAAATTTTTCTAGAGGCACCTAATAGTATTTCTGAGAAATATAGTTTTCTTAAATTCGAACATCTCACTCAACATGTTTTAAATCTCATTTGTCGACTTTTTGTCATGTCGTTTTTATGTCCTGTCGAGTTACTTACCTAGCATTGTGGCCTTGTTTCCAGGTACATCAGTGCCACTACGAAGAATGGCTATCAGAAGATAGATGACGAGTCTCTCAATGGTCGAAACAGCGGACTGTTGATCAGTGGAAGCAGCGAGCACTTTTAAGCGACTCCAATAACGAGAAAGAGACAGTTATTGATGAGCAAATACTTCAGTTTCAAAATTATAACGACGTTGACAGTGGTGTAAATAAAAACCAACCGAATCATATGGACTACAAACCTTGTTATCAATTAACCCTCCCCTTTGCAAAAGATTGGGGGGGGGGGGGGGGTTCGGTACAAAATGTAGAATTGGAGATTCTATCAAAAATTCGGCTAAATTGAAATTTTGTCTTAGATAGCATTACCTTGGATTTATAGAGGTACAGAACTGTACACTACGATAAAGTAATGGGCCAGTTGAGCGATTATTAGCCTAAGGTGCACGAATCGGAACAATCAAAATTTAAACAAGTTCAGGTTTTAAAGTCATTATCGATACTTTTCTAAAAACACAATTTAGGTCTTTATATATCTTTCACCCTCACACGCCCCACCTAGCACTAATAAGGTCCTGAAAGAAGTTGGCTCAATAGGAAAATTCAACTTCTCAAATTCTACTGTATTGAGATAAGCTATAAAAAATTAGCCATCCCCCGCCAACATGAAGGCTGAATCCCCAAAAGTTTTACCACCGAGCACGTTTTTAGAACCAATGAGGCACATGTAGAAGCCCGGAGCAGGAGGAAACCAATACTTCATAAAATCTCGAAAAAGCCACCTGTTGCCTAATTATTAACATTAGGTATTAAAACTTTCAGGCCCCCCGCCAGCACGGTGGATGGATTTCGTAAAAGTTAACGCCGATTACCCTTATGGTTCTATTAAGAAACAAATGCAACCTTAGAAGACCGGGAGATAAGAACTTCAGGATATACAGCTCGACAATTTCCCTGAGTAAAAAGTCCCCCATCCTTGACTTCTGGAAGTCGTTTCTCGGCCCCACTGAACGCAGGGAACTAAAACGTTGGCATATGGTAGGTATTGTGAAAGTACATGTATTTTAATTTGAACCCAATCGGACGGGTGGCCCGGAAGTTACTAACACTTGGAAAAACGCAATAGACCGGTAGGGGGAAGTTTACGCAAAAAATTGAGAGAGGGCATATTGATTTTATGATGGCAATAGACACTAGAACCTTCCCGGGAAAAATGATAATGGACCTAAAAATTGAGAAAACTTTGGAAGTATTGACGGGATATGGGTGAAAATTCGTAGGCAGGACCACATTGGGATTCTGAACCGGAAAGTAGAAGATTTAGCCTGGGCGACCCCGGGATGACCTTTAATTGAACTTTGGGCGTTCAGGACCAAATTTTTACAGGAAACCTCAGGATCAACGCAGGAAAGTGGCGTATTCCCCCAGCCCCAGCCCTTTGGGAATGAGAAGTGGTCACCTTGCCAATAACTGAGAAGAAACTTATCTATTGGGAACTGAACCAAAAGCTGAACGGGATATAGCTTTTACAGTGTAAAATTGAATTAGTGGAATAAAATAAAGTGGGCTTGGCAACCAGTGAGTTCAACTTAACTGGGCGAAAAAGCTATTTTTATACATTCAATCAGGCTACTTAAAACTAAGCCCAGAGGAAATTCACAATGGTAGGAGCTGGGCATAAGAAAACAGTCCCCCAAAAACTTGAATGGACGGGACTTTCATTTAGATAACCGGAGTTGGTTTTTTGCCACACTTTGACCCCTAGTAAGCGAATTACGTTCTCTTGATAGCTAGATGGTAAGGATTGGAATAGAGTATAGACGGAAATTTTAGAAGCTTGAAAAAACAAAAAAGTGTATTACCCTAACAACGGGAGATCGGAATTTTATTAGGATAACTACCTTGGAAGATTGATTAATCAAACTTAACTTGGTTTAGAAGTGAAATTGGACTTGATGTTTGCGCAACTTAGATACAGATAGCTAAAGTGAAATAGGAATTTAGAACTTGTGTCGTCAGATAAAGAATTCAGTTCTTACTTTTCGAAAAGGTTACTAAAATAAAAAAAAAGACTTGTAGGGACAACATAACTCTAAATCTAGCTAAAACTCAATAGGTAAAGATTATAGAGATTAACAAATAGCCTACCCTTAGGCATAACAACTAGAGCGAAGTTAGTAGATAGTTGGTTCTCAGAGTTAGAGAGCGAGAAACTGTGAAGTCAGAGAGATCATTTAAAGTTCGTCTAAGGATTAGTGGTCCCTAGAGACAGTAATAATTTCAGCAGGTGGAACTGAGTAGTTTTGTGGAATTACAGCGTGTAATTGTTTAGTTGGTTTCTCTAGAGAAACAAGATCTTAGAGTTAAGTCAATCGGGAGTTAATTAATAATTAAGAAATTGTGCTGATAGATCGCGGACCCTCTCTTTTGATTAGATTATTAGATTATATTTTTGCCCCTTATAGCTTTCTGTATTTGGATTTATTTTGTCTGAATTCAACTTTCTGTGGAAATTCTTGTGAATATGTCGAGCGGACGCGACAGATCGAAGAGCAGTTCACAAAGGCGGCAAGTAACAGAGTACAGTACGAAATAGTAGTGAATCTCGATCGCCCAGAAAGTTAGTAACCCAAATGACCAATATGCGATACCCTCAAGTTAGAGTGTGTGAACGGACCTCGAGAAGCAGTGCCCTGAATATAAAATGGCGCTCCTGGTTGGGCCATGTTCTGGATTGTAGCTGCGAAGTACGTGCTGTTATTGAACGAGAGGAATTCGACAGAAGATGAATGACGAAGAGCGTGCATTGATGACCGAGGCTGCAGTAGCAGCGGCCAATGCTCTCGGCAGGCAACAGGGGATGTTCGGATTCGGAACGATCCGACCCGACCGATTTTCTTCCAACAGCTATCAGAATCAGGCGGACTGTAGGAAACACTTCGCTTGGGTTGCCGATGCCAACCGGTGGGAAGACGAGCAGTCTAGGATGGCGTTGCCCACCTTTTTGTCGGCTGAGTTCTTGGCGAAACTACAAGCATGCCGGCCCACTTCAGGGAGGAAGTCGGCGGTTTGTTTCCCCGACCCCACTTTAGCGAGAATGTTGAATGACCTCGACCAGCAAACGATGCCTTTCCAGACTCAAGCAGCAGTCAGAGCAGAGCTCGTAAGTCTAAAATCTGATGCAAAGTGATAAGGAAGCACTGAGAGAGTTTTCCTGGCGTCTCAGATTTCCTGGTAATTTGGAAAAAGCAAATGGCAGTGCCTAGGCTAGACTGATGGACTCTACGAACTTCTTGAGGGACTGTACGACGTGGAGTTGCAGGATTTCCTCCTATGAGAAGAGTTGGGGAGTTTGGCCCAGGCAGTGGCCCGCACTCAGGCTCTGGAACTAGTGAAAAATTTGCTCCGAGATAGGAACAGGAAGAGGCTGCACCTTGCGAGAGTGGCAGGGGATGTACTGGCGCCATTTGCCGAGACCAGTCGTGGGAGACCGGTGCAGAAAGCTCAAACTATCCAAGTGGTGGCCGGTGCTGCGCGACAACCAGTGGGTACTGACTCAATGAACGACAAAATGGTGAGATTCTGACGCAGATGCAGAAGATTACATTAATGATGGATAGATTTGTCAATTCCAACATTACCGCCCCCACCCGGGATTCTACCCCGAACCGACCAGACCCAACGGCCTCGAAAGCTGTTCGACACTTACCTTGGCAAGGACCGTTGAAGCTACCAGAACAACTATGTCGGACGCTACGGAGTGAAAAACCAGGTTATCGGCGGCAACTGCTATGCATGCCGTCAGTCATAAAAGTTTGAGAAGAAATGCCCCCAGAAAGTCGCGGATCATTCAAACTACTGAGTGCCAGGACAGTGAGCGGATTCCAAGGAGGGTTTTTCCCGGCAGCCTTTGAGAACCAACAAAAAAGAGTTGGCTCTTTACTTCTAAGAACCAACAGAGTCAGGACGGCTCTCCCAAACAAAAACCCTGATTTCCCAGATGTCCGATCGGATTCGGCAACGCGGCGGCTGGATGACTCTATCGGAGCAAGTGCGGTCACTTTTCCATCAACTTCTACCTCCCACAGCGGTGGTTTCTAAAGCAGATGTTCAGTACCCAGTGCCAGACGGAGACATCATTGGAATTTGTTGGTGTATGTCATGTACCCGAAGCACCCTTTCGATTGATAGCAGACGCTCGTGTCGAAAGAACTCCAGTGAAAGCGTTAGTGGATATTGTAGCTATCCTCAACTTCATCAGAAGCGATGTACATAGAAAACTTGTAGCGGCATCGGCCCTCCGGCTAAACAAGGGTTCCCTCGAGACAGCGGTTGGATGCCCGGTGAATATCGATGGCTGGGTTACAACGAACCTGAAACTAGAATCGATAGACGATGACATCGGGGCGTTTGTAGTCCGCGATTTGAAGGCGGGTGTGATCCCTGGCATGCGATCACTCAAGGAATACGAATGCGCACTGGGTTTCCACGGCGAAAGCTTGTGGACAGGACCAAAAGAAGGGTCGATAGTTCCCCTGCATTACGAACCGCTGCGAACCTCAGTCGCGGGCACCCCTACCCAAACCGACAGTTTCAGAGGCTCGCGAAGATCCCCAGCAGCCTATATACGGTTGAGACTTAGTGAAGGGTTTGACCGACTACAAAAAAATCACGTGGTCCAGGCAGTTAGCGACATGGGCGAAAACGATCTACAGGCGCAAGCGGGACGTCATTTGGAGGAGGACGTTGAGAAGATCCTGAAGCTGGCTGCCCCTGGCGTGACAGGCATGGAGAAAGACAAATTAGCAGAACTCATCCGGTCACACAGAGACTTGTTCGCCCTAACAGACGCACTTGGGGCAAAGAGTTGGGGCAAACTAAAGAGTTGGGGCAAACCATTTTAGGATCTCATCGAATCGACATGGGGGATACGGGCCCCATCAAGATTCCTCCTCATCGCGCGTCTGCAGCGAATATGCCGATTATCTAGGAGGAAGTGCAGAGCATGCTGGAGAAAGAAGTAATCCATCCGTCCAAAAGTCCCTACAGTGCCCCAATCATTCTACAGAAGAAGAAGTACGGGAGCTGGTTGTTCTTTGTGGATTATCGAATGCTGAACGATGTAACGATTAAAGATGCTTTCCCCATTCCCCGGATACAATAGACTTTTGACGCTTTGAAGAGACAGAAATATTTTTCGTCTTTAGATTTGGCCAGCGGATAATGGCAAGTACACGTGGCAGAAGAAGATCGCCGCAAGACGGCTTCCGTTACCGCCG